ACATCATAATAAAAAGAATACATATGAATTTTAGAATAATCTAAAATTGATAGACCCATATAAATAGGTTTATCTAATTCTACCATTGCCTTTTCAAGTTCTACCACCACTAAATCTTCATTTATAATGTGTCTATGTTTGTATGATGGTTTATTTACTAATTTCTGGAAGCGTTCAGGTGTATTGATTAGTCTGAAGTCATTGTGATTACGAACGTTTTCGAGTGTTTTTCCATATACAGCGTTATTTAATAATTTGAATAAATCTTTTTCAAATTCAGTTTTAGCATTCTTTCGTTTTTCGGTGTTGAAATCAATGTATGGTTTTAAGAAATCTGCTTGATTAAAACTAATTACCCTATGGACTTTCTTTAGTTTTAATCCATGCTCTAAATAAAACTTCAATGCTGATATATGTAATACATACTTTTTCTTATCCATAACATTTAATATTAGTTTATTTGTTTTTTCATCAGATGCATCTTTTCCATAATATTTTTTATGTATTTCTTTTTGAACTGGTGAAAGCATATTCTCACTAACACTCATAATTTCTGGTGCTAATGGATAATCTCTATGTAAATCATGTAATTCTTTTGGATATTCTAAATCAACTTCTAAAATATAGCCTTTGTCATCATCATCGCTATAACTTAATACTTTCTTCTCATCCATCCTTGAAAAATACCAATTGAAATTATCAAACGGTAGTTTTTTACTCATAGCCAGACCATACAAGTTATTAGCATCTAAATAACTTACATAACTTGATGGTTTTGACAAGTCATATTGTTCATTCATGTATTTATTATTTGCTTCTACTTTTTTATGAGCACATTGTGTCATCCCGCCACGAAGACCTTTTTCAATCATTTCATGCATATCTTTATTATGTATTTGTTGAAGTCTAACACCAGTCAGAGATAAAAAGGCAGACCAAGAATAATTAGGTAATGTTATGTAATGTGCAGGGTCTAATCCATAAAAATTTAAACACATATCCCTAAAGTTTTCAAACACATCACTAAGCAAATAAACATCTGTCATCAAATATAAATCATGGTATTCACCTAGGTTTTTGATATTGAAATTATCCCATATTACTTTTGCCCTTGTGTGTTGTGTATCTGTTATACCTTCTTCATATAATTTACTGTAAAAGTCTTCTATATTCGGTAATTGCGATTCATTGAATTTATCAAATGAATTCATGTAGTCGTAAGGATAAACTCCTTTTTCAGTTAATAAGTCTAAATCGGTTTTATTTCTAATATATGGATTTGCTGATGAAAATCGGAAATTATCCTTCCAGTCATTCCGCTTTTTATATATAGGTTTATCATGTTCATCTTTACCTACTATGTCATATTTATTTAACTTAACTAATTTATCCAAAGATGCTGAGAGAAAAGCCATGCTATCTTTAAACTGTAATGAACCAAATGAAAATGTAATAAACTTTTCGCTATTTTGTGCTATTACATCTATTCTCTTATTTTCGTTCAATTCCTTATTTATTTCATTTGCTTTACCTATGATTAAGTGAGAGTCATCGATTTTTAAATTATGAAAAAATACTGGTATCTTGAAATATCTAAATGAATAATCCAAATTACATTTTTCGTGAGCACAACCTCTATAAATACCAGTAAAATGACAGTGGTCACGAACTTTTGTATCTTCTGGTTTAAAATTCTTATTACATATTGAACATACAGTAGCTTTTCTAAATTCTGCTTCTTGTTCAACTGTAATATTCAGTGGTTTATTAACATTCATTTTATCAAAAATATCTTTTTTAATTTCTCTTAATTTATTTACAAAGTGGTCTAAACAATCCTCTCCACGGTATAAAAAAGGTTGACTTGTATTATCAATAGAATTTACAACATTCAACATATAACCGCATGGTTTATGTTCCTGATACGTGCCCTTGATGCCATTATTTGAATTTACAGTTATACACTCAAAATCTCCATAAACAACAAATGGACATTTTAATTTTGTATTGTATTTTTCAAATTCAATATAACTACCTTCTTTTGGTAATTTAAACTGTTGTCCATGTGTTGCCATACAACCAGTTTCATAATGTTTTGTTAATAAATCCTTTCTAGTAAAGGCATGAGAACAATAATGACAATAATGTTTTGGTTGGTCATTTTTGTTTGTTTGCCAGTTCATTAAACGACTTAGACTTTTAATAACTACATAATGATTATTATTATTGATTTCAATTTTCAAAAGGTTTATTTGATGTTTAGCATCTCTTGTTTTAGTTCTGTAATCAATTATAATTTTCTTTTCATTCAAAGTATCATCAATTTCATAAACATTGATTGAAACTAACTTACTATTATTTTCTTCAAACCTTTCAATATCTTTATTACCAGTTGGAAATTTAACACCTTCCCAGTTTAAGATATTGTCGTTTAATTTGTTGTAATGGAACATTTCTTGGGAATTTGATTTATTAATTATATCAAACACTACACTTTGAACACTATATTTAAAACATTTGTTATCTTTGTTTTTGATATTAATACATGCCTTTTTTAGTTTAATCCATTCTGGTAAATCTATATAACTACCCGCCCTAGTTGGGTCATATTTGTCATAATGGATTGTTATTGATAATATCTTTATAAATTTTAAATTAGATGCTGAACCTTCTAACTTTTCTATGTTCAATAAAATCTCTTTGATTGATTTTTCAATTGCTTCATCCAAATCGGTTTCATTATATATGTTTGACCTTGTAGCAGGTAAATTATAAAGTATCTCTGTATGTTTTATTACTCCATCATCATCATAATAATGATAAAATAAACCTTCTGCCCTTATATTCAGTTTCATTGCTCTATTAGTTTTCAAAAAGGTCAAAAGTCTATCTTTTTGGTGGTGTATCATTGATAGTGCCTTTTCACCTTGAAAATGTTTATTTACTAGTTTTATAGAATTAGCATAACTTTTGAAAGCTGATTGTTGGTCTGTTACTTGGAATTTATTTTTGATTGCATATTTTGTCATTGCATTTTTCATTCTTTGTTTTAGGTATGTTGAGCGCAATGTTTTTGTTGCATAACTATTATACTCATTAGTTCTTGCTTCTGATTTTAATTTCTTGTTCAAAACATTTGAGATGGGTTTTTCTTTGTTGTATCTAAATTGTCTACCATCTATAATTATTGATTTTAATTCCTTGTTTCCTCTTTTTGGAATTTCCGCTTTATCATTATTCAACAGATAATCTATAACATGTTTCATAATACTATACTATATAAATTTAATGTGTTTATTTCTTTAAGTGACTTTTTAGAAAATATACTTAAAGATTTAAAACCTTAATATAATAAGAGGAAAATGAACGGTGATAAAATCAATAATTATATCAATAAAAAATGCTATGATTGTTGTCACTTCAAAAAAGAAAATATGGAATTGTATAAATTAAATTTACCTAATGAAATAGTGAATAATATTATTAATTATTCAATGGATGAAAAAGTCGAATGTGAAAATTGTAAAACTTGGAGAGATAATCAATTTTTAATCAAATGTCTGTTGGGAATAAAAAGAATAAATAATAGAAATGTAGAAGATGAGATTTTAATATTTCTAACTGTAAATAAAATACCACCTTATGATTATGTTAAACAGTTTCTTAAAATTAGTAAGAAAAATATGAAATGATGGATGATATATTATGGTTGTTGTGTTATAGTCAAGAGAAAGGAGAAGATGTTAAAGAAAATATCAAATTATTTATTGAAAGTAAAAAGTTTAATATTCAAAATACATTGAGAGATATTAATATTATTTTTAAAATGATGTATGAAAGAAGAAAGATTTGTCAATTAAATTATTATCCTGTACTGAAATTATAATCATACTATAATAATAACATGTAAAATCTTATATGTTATAATTATATTGAACTTATGGTTTGTAAAGATTGAAATATTTCATTTTTCCTTGATTTGCTTGTCTCTTTCAAAGTGCGTTGTTTGAACTTGGCATGCTCTTTTGATTTTTTCGTGCTTTGGCTGTTTGTTTTTTATTTTGTTTGATACTCTTCTGATATTTTTTGATGGTATGTTGCTTTGTTTTTGATTTTGTGTGTTTTTGAGATTGGGTTCTTTGATGGTTTTTATTTTTGCTGTTTTGTTGGTATGCTTGTTTGAATTATTTAATGTTTTATGCTTTGATTAAATATTTTGTTGGGGGTTGTTCTGGTTTTTGAGTTGCTTGGTGGTTCTTATCTTGTTTTCTGTGAATTTTGCTGATTTTGTTGTATGCTGTTTGATTATTTGGGTTTGAGGCTAGAAGTGCCATTTTATGTATTTTTGGGGGGGGGGGGGGGGGGGGGGGGGGGGGGGGGGGGGGGGGGGGGGGGGGGGGGGGGGGGGGGGGGGGGGGGGGGGGGGGGGGGGGGGGGGGGGGGGGGGGGGGGGGGGGAGGGGGGGAGGGGGGGGGGGGGGGGGGGGGGGGGGGGGGGGGGGGGGGGGGGGGGGGGGGGGGGGGGGGGGGGGGGGAATTCCAGAAATCCAGAGATCCAGAAATCCAGAGATCCAGAAATCCAGAAATCCAGAAATCCAGAAATCCAGCCGACGTAGAAACCAGCCCCAAGGGCCGCCCCAAGGGACATATAGGTTATATACATATATATATATATATATATATCTACATAATCATATTCACATTAAACTTATAGAAAGCATATCAACAAAAGCAACACAGAACACACCGCCCCCATGCCGAAAGCATGGTCCATTCTGGACCAGGCATGGGGTCGGCGGATTGGACAGAGGGCAGGCATGAACATCCGAGCTCCCTAGGTGGTTGTGGATACCAAATTCAGCAATACCACGAGAACCCCCTTTGAAGTTACAAGGTAGCTTTGGGGATGACCCTGGTATCACTCTTTCCAACACCATACCAGCGCCTCCGGTTTGGTCAGGAAAAAGTTCCGCCCACGACCGAATTCCCACGTGTCGTGAGGGCCGCGTCCTGGTACAGACTTTGAGCCCGCAGATGGGCCAGCGTGCTTTGTCTAGAGGCGCTTGCACGCGCTTCCCCGTGTTTTTTGTTGGGGGGGGGGAGGCAGCGGTGGTCTTCTTAAGACGACCTGATCGGAGGTGGGTTTCTGACTTTTGGCGGGATGTTGCATGTGTGGTCAAAAGAGAACCTGATCAAAAGGAGTCTTGACCATGACAATAGCCCTGGACACCAGCACAAGGGTGCGATGAGTTGCCACATGGGCCGAACTATGCGACGCAAAAGGCCCACTTTCGGATGGTGAATCGGCTTGGCATGAAAGGGTCTTCTTTTGAAAGCACATGTTTCGCGGGGGTGTCCTTGCTGGCGCTGGAGATGTTTGGATCGTTGGGGTCCTAAAAAGTAGAGAGACCCTTCAGTAGGTTTCTGCCCAGAAAGGTCTCACGAAGTCCATGAGCACTCCAGTTGGCAGAATTCGGGACCTGGTCCCCGGTGAAGCCCACGAGATTAAACACCCTCGCCAGGGGTTGCATTGGATGCAAGGCTTCAACCACCCAAAAAGGCCCTGGATATTACCTGGAGACACCGAAGGTTGGATTCCTGGTAATTGTATCTCAACGGGGGGGGACAACAATATTTGTTTGACTAACCCGCATCGCCTTCACCTAACCGCAGGTGCTTTGCGCTGAAAAGGAGCACGGTTTCAACCTGGAGTCCCGAACACAACGGTCAGCAAACAGAGAGGTATCCAAAGGGAAACCAAAGTCCAATTAGAGGATTTCCCCATAACACCACACGCACAAGGCTAATGTGAGGATGTAAATAAGCGCATGTTTCCGCTGTGATCATGAAGTAGTTTGGCTGAATTGTGACCCGTGACTCGTTGAATCACCCTTCTAGTACTGACTTCTACGCCCCGAAGGTCTCACATCACAGCCCCTCGTCCTCGCCTTCGATACCTGGTAGCCAGGCCTTTCGAAAGTGTCCGACCAGGAGCTGCCGTTGGGCTTGATCTCAAGTCGTGTGCGGAAGCTGGGTTTGTTTGCGGTTCCAACCAGAAGGACAAGGGCCGCAATCCTCGTCAGCTTTCTGGGTACTCTTCTCCCTTGACATCTGAAGGTCCTGATCTCAATGGGCCAACCTTCTGTTTCCGAGACCCGTGGTGCAAGTGAGCAAGCTGCAGTTCAACATGCAATCATAGCGAATAAAAGAAGCTGCTAGTGCCCTCTGCTAGCACTTTCAGTTCATCATTTTCAGTGACAAAGATGGCTTTAGAAGTTGGTTGTTTTCATCAAATTTTGCATGGTCTCTGAATAAACCAGTCACGACTGGCAGTGGCCAACTTGTAACCACGGCGTCGCGGTTTGGGATAGTCATGAATGGACCCTCAAACTACCCTGAAACATTGGACATTAACTCCTAATTTCGGGCAAACACTGTTTGAGGGTGCATGCGATCAAAGGAATCTGACGAACACCGCTGGAGCTTAGCCGCCATCTTGATCCTCCACGAGAGTTCTGAGTTGGTATGGGCACGGCATGGCGGCATAGGCCTCCTGACCGTTTGAGCCCTTTCTTTCTCCTCTCGCTTTAAACCAGCGGAACACCGCTGGAAACATGTGTGTGTAAGGCACACCGACATTCAGCGAAACGGAGTTGATGGGTTTACAGTGGCAATATGCTGAAGCGGGTGGTTGCACCGCACGCCGTTCCCGATAGAGGTCTATTTTTGGTTTAGGCTTACACAGAAGATACCCAAGCACATCAAACACATGACAGTGGTCTTTCATCTGGCGGCGCAAAAGGTTTGGGTTGGGCCTATCCACCTTATTCTGAGTGCGGGTGTTCTACTTGACCTTATTGTTTTGGGAGGGGGAACCATTGTTGACGGCAACCTTTTTGTGCGAAACCCAAGGGGAACGATGTTTAAGGGTGGTACCCTTTTGGGGTTGGCTTAAAGGACAACTCCCTTTGCGGGGTTTCGTAAGGTTACATTTGGAGGGTTCTCAACAAATTGTTTTCGGGCTGGTTTCCCAATACTTAGAGGGTACCCTTGGCACTGCTCTTGACAGAACTTCTTTAACTTTTTGAGACCCAAGGGCCCGCAGTCCTTTTGCCACATTTGGCAGGCCGTTCCCTATATTCCCCGGTCTCTCAAGGTGGTTCCGCCACAACCATCAACGCACTAGAGGTTGGAAAGGCCGATTGAAAGCGCGACTCGATCCTTTTGCAGACCAATTCTGGGGCACCAAAAGGAAGCCAGTGTTTAAGATCCCCTTTCGGAGTTGTTTTAGTTTTTTGTTTTTGGGTTTCCCGGTTTCCCGGTTTCCTCACAAAGGGCCCTCGCCAGGACTACGGAGAGGGCGTGGAGGTGCACATCGCGGACAAGTGCTTCGTGTGTTTGTCCGCCCTGGGCCGGGGCTCCTACGGCGAGGTCTGGCGCGCCAAGGCGCCGTCTGGGAGGGATCGAACAGGCTTGGCGGTTGTCCTCTTTTTGAAGGGTACCACGTTTTGCGGTCGTTTTAATGAACGTAAAGGGACCACCAAAAGGAAACCAACCATCCTTTTCTCATTTTGAGACCCACCCATTTGCAATTTTTCAACCGCGTTTGAACCGGCTTCGGTAGGGCCTTGCAACATTTTTTGTGCTACCAAATTGGCATTCCCCTTTTTTGTTTTGTTCTTTTTGGGTTACATCCAGTCACAGACAGGACGTGCTAAATAGCATTATTGTTTTTCCGCAACCGTGTTGGCATGTCAGGGTAGGGCTGGAGTCCGGTTGGTTCATGTGGGGATCCACTACAATTTCTTGCAAAACAACAGCAACAGGAAAGTGATCGTGGCACGAGACCCCCATTTTGGCTTATACCCAGACATAATGATTCAAGGGACCTTTGCCTACTTTCAACCTGGCAAGCCCTTCTGGTCATTGAAAGCAAGGGCAAAAAGCTGGAACAGGCTGGTGATTTTGAGGATGACACGTGAAAGAGTCCAAGTCAGTCGGGGATTTCAGAAAGAAACAACTTATGCAGGAGCTTCAATTCGAATATTTGGTATGATGTAATGACGTACCATGTTGCAAGATGCATCAACACCTTTGCGGGTTCGGATGTGCGTGTCTATGTGCGTGGCCGGTGGTGTTTATGTGGCCAAATTGGTTTGTTGCTTGTAGAACATGTGTCATCCGCAGCTGAAGAGCTTTGTGTCGAGGGTAAGGTGAATTTCTTACCAGGTGAACTCGTCTTTGGCTTTTGCTGCAAAGATGAGCATCGACTCATTTGCAGTGGCCAGGCATGCGTCGTTTACTTTTCTTTGCCCCGGGATCAGACCCTGCATTGAAGCGATTATAATTTGGATTGCTACAAATTCGGTTCAAGCCCTTGTCGTGCGCTTTGCCACTTTGTTGGCTGTTCACAGGCGACCCGTTGAAAGGTCATTGCGGTAAATAGCCTGCAGCTTCATGCGAGTGGAGGTGTATTTGGCGAGTGGAAAGAGCTGCTCCCTGGTGCTTTCACCAAACGCGAGCGTGCGCGAGCTGAAGGCCGAGGCTCAAACTGCTGCGGCGCCGTTTTCTGAGACTCGCCTTGCGAGGTCAGCTGCTGGATATATCGTCCTCTTTGCTTGAGGTGGGCGTGCGAGATGGTGATAGCATTGATGCGGTGGTGCAGCCGGTCAAGCTATCTTCCTCTGACAAAGCAGTTGCTTTTCATACCCCAGGAGGCGCAGCGCTTGCTTGGGGTGCTCCCAGCAACGGCGGGGATTGCAGCCAGGTGCAAGAGCAGTTGCATCCTGGACGACGGCTCTGTGGTGACGTGGGGCCATCCAGACAGTGGCGGTGACTGCAGCCAAGTGCAAGAGCAGTTGGTTGGCGTTCAGCAGATCCAGGCGACTGGTCAAGCTTTTGCTGCAATCCTTGACGACGGCTCTGTAGTAACTTGGGGCAACCCCGAAAGTGGAGCGGACAGCAGATACGTGCAGGAGAGGTTGGCGTGCGTCCGGCAGATCCACGCAACTAGTCGTGCCTTTGCTGCAATCCGGGACGACGGCCTTGTGGTGACTTGGGGCAATCCACCAGATGGTGGTGGCGTCGGTCGTATGCGACAGCAGTTGGTGTGCGTCCAGCAAATCCAAGCGACTGACAATTCTTTTGCTGCCATTCGGCAGGATGGCTCTGTGGTGACTTGGGGCCATCCTCATGCTGGCGGTGACTGCAGCCAGGTGCAAGAGAAGTTGGTGCGGGTCCAGCAGATCCAAGCAACCATTCGTGTTTTTGCTGCAATCCTGGATGACGGCTCTGTGGTGACTTGGGGCGATCTAAGCGATGGAGGTGACTGCAGCCGTGTGCAAGAGCAGTTGGTACGCGTTCGGCAAATCCAAGCGACTCACAATGCTTTTGCTGCCATTTTGGACAATGGCTGTGTGGTGACGTGGGGCGATCCTCGCTTTGGCGGGGACAGCAGCCATGTGCAAGAGCAGTTGGTTGGCGTTCAGCAGATCCAGGCAACGTACACAACATTTGCTGCCGTCCTGGAGAGCGGCCTTTTGCTGACTTGGGGCGATCCTTCTGCTGACAGCAGTCAGATTCAATCTGAGTTTGAACGCCTCTAAGGCAACTGGCTTGCTTGGTGGTACTTGTAGAGACAGGCTCCCGACACATGAGCCATATTCGCTTGAGGTCGCAAAGGTCAGCGGCTTGAGTCCTTATATGGCACAGCGATGGCGCGATGTGGAGCGATGCGGACCGGTACTCGACAGCAACAGCAAGCAAGGACGGATCATTTCCGCAAGGGTTTGACATGCCCCTCCCCAAAATTTTGAGAGTGGGTTTGCGAGTAGTCGGATAGGTGGCCCCCAGTCTGGACAAGTGGAGGTATATTCGACAGCCAGCATTCGTCACGATGTCTTTTGTAAGTGAGGGTCGTTTTGCAGTTCCTCAGCATTCGTGTAGCTTTTCTCACTGCAATCAGCATATTCTTTGGGCCACACCCCCCATAAAGCTTCTGCACCAAGGCCGTCTTGGCCTCCTGGCATCCAGAATGTGTGGGGCCGGAGGTGTTGGTCGCCCCACTTTTTCAAGTTGCAAAGGAGCAAGAACTTGAGATGGTCAAGCCAACGGAAGAGAAACAGGAGGCTAACGACAAGACGCGGGAAGTCAACATGAGGAATCTTGGACATTTAGCTCTTCTTCCAACTCCTGATAGGCAACCGTTGTCCCTGAAAGAGTGTCACTGCGGTCCCTGCTAGCAAGACGATTTGTCAGGGGGGTCCCCTTTCAGGTTTCATGTCTGTTGGGATGTCACTGCTGGTTTGTTGGCATATGTGTTCAAGGAGCCTATTCTTGCAGCACCTTTTTTGGGGTTCCTGCCATTCACGCGCCGGGTTCTCTTGGCAATGAGTTTGAATGGGGATTTTTTGAAATGGTTGGCGGACTTGTGGCTCCACCTACCCGATGTTCAGGAAAGGTTCTCTCGCATTTCAAGAACATCGAGGCTTCTTTAACCCAAAACGTCCCCCCCCCCCAAAAAAAAAAACATCGGAAAAGGCACCGGATTGATTTTCTTCAGGGTGGTTTTAGGCGGGCTTCCACCTCCCGTCTCGGTTTGTTCATCTCCCCCGTTGTCGGAACGTATCTCCCGTCTCGCTTTCCGCGGAAGTTGTCGGATCGGCAGGTGGTGACTGGGGCCTCGGAGAAGGAGGTGGCCCTTAAGGCACGGACGGGATCGGAACCTCAGTGAATCCTTCCGAACCTTCCCACTTGAGTGGCTTTTCATAAAGACCACCCCCAAAAAGGCGGTAGCCTGATTTAAGGAGACACTCTTAACAAGAGAATGCTTTGTAGATTTTTTAGATGGACTAAATACGGCACAGGACCAGCGAATGGTGGACTAAATACGGCACAGGACCAGCGAATAGGTTATTTTTTTTGGTACACATGGGCCAAGAGGAGATGATGTTGTTTTTTTTCCTGGCCCTGGTCCCCCCTTAGCCCTGGTTTGGTGGGTGGGTGGGTGGGTGGGTTGGTTGGTTGGTTGGTTGGTTGGTTGTTTGGCTGGCTGGCCGCATCCCCGGCATCACCAACATCACTTGGACCTGGGGTTGCCTAGGCTCTGATGGGGTGGCAGTTGGGAGTTGCTGGGGGCTTGTTTCAGTTAGGGGGGTTTTGGCTGGGTTAGATCTTCATGAGGGTGGGTCTTGGGGTCTAGTTTTGGTGTGACCAGAACCCCACTCAAAGTCAACCCTAAACCCGCCCAACAGCAGCCTGGATGTCAGCCCTTCGCTTTGCCTAAATCAACCCCAAACCACCCCAAGACCCACCCTCATGAAGATCTAAGCCAGCCAAACCCCCCCTAACTTAAACCAGCCCCCAGCAACCCCAACTGCCACCCCATCAGAGCCTAGGCAACCCCAGGTCCAAGTGATGTTGGTGATGCCGGGGATGCGGCCAGCCAGCCAAACAACCAACCAACCAACCCACCAATCAAAAAAAAACTCCACCTGGGCCAAGACATGGGCGTGTCAGGAAAACCAAAGGCGGGAAAGCAAAGGGGGTTGGGTTTAAAAGGGAAGCTAACAGAAATCTAGCCAGCTGAGAATGCTTGGTTCAGAGTATAGACGGGGAGGGGGGGGGGGTCATTTTTGTGAGGGTACCCTTTTGGGGTTTGGCTTGTTCAAGGGAAAAAGGAAAGAGCCACAATTATATATTTTTTAAGAGGGGGGGGTCCAATCCTCTCCTTTTTTAGGCGGGTTGGTTTAATTGCAACATGGGAATGGGGCATCCACCGTAGACCTGTTGTCCTTGTTCTAAGTGGTTCCCTTGCCAACCTTCGGGTTCGGAATTGGAGGATGGTGTATCCTTATGCTTGGGGTTAGGGGAGGTTTCAAGTTAGGGTTTGGGGGGGGGGGGGAGGGGGTGGTGGGGGGTTGGTTGAATCTTTAAACATTGCCCAACTGCAGGAGGTGCTGTGCCGGTCCCAGGGGGAGCTGCAGCAGGCGGGGCCCGGGTTTGCGGGGTCCGCCTGCAGCTTGGGCTTGGTGGAGCGGCCTGTCGTTTTTGTTCCGAATTCAGCCATAAAAGTGGAAGTCAGCCAAGGTGGTTGGGGTTGTTTCGCCACGGGTACCCCAAACAGTTTGTCAAACCTACTTTACAGGAACCCCAAACCTTTGTTTCCTTTGAGACAGGATGCATGGCAAAATGGCATTGACCATACATATGCCATTGTTTGAACCATATGGCATATAGCAATACCACATCTGCATCACTTGGAAGCCATGGGAAACCACTTCTTGTTGGTAGTTACAGTTACAGAGGCATCATATTTGCAGGGCATCATCCTTCCAGGGTTTCTTAGGTAGTGCGGGATTTCGTCCATCCACAGTCGTACTATATGGGTACGATATGTGTGAAAAAAGGGGCCCAACCAAATGGTGGTCTTTCTTTTGGTTTCCATCAAAATGTGCAGCCTCAAAGAACTTCCCCCCTACGGGTGTTTGTCAAAATACGGGTCTCCAACATCTGGCTGGCAATTGCAAAAGGACACCAAGAGGAACTCCACCCTTTTAGGGAACCTAAAAGTCTTTGTTGGTGGTGCCTTTTTTGGGTTGCTTCACAGGGGAACGAAGAGAAGCCACCCGTTTTGTCAGGGCTCCTTAAAAGATGCATTTTGCAACCATTTGAAACATGTGGCTTTTTCCACCAAAATTTACAGGGAAACCACCATTTACAAGGCAATGTTCAGGTGTATAATGCATCCGGATCCCTGTTTGTGGGTTCCAATTCCTATGTAGAGAACCCACACGGATCGCTCGGTTCCAGGCCATCTTCGAGGTGCAGGTGCTGTTGGCGCTGGAGCGCGATGCCTCCCCCCTGCGGGTGCCGCGGTGCATCTGCTACAAGGCGCGGCTGGCGAACGCGCGGCCGGCGAAAGCCCAAAACAAAAGTTGATCAATCTTGTGGGTTCCCATGAAACCGCCACTTGTGTTCCCCTCCGCACAAAGGACAATCGCCTGGGCGCTCTCCCCAACAGTAAACCTCCGCAACCCGTTCCGGAACCCTAGCCCTCCACTCCAAACCACTCCTTGCCGCCTACCTGAAGCCCCAAAACTTCCAGCTGTCGTTATTTGTTTTTCGAAAAACACTGATTCCGCTTTGGCCTTCGCTGGCCGCCCTACAACAAGCAAGCGCTTTACCCAACAGGAGTGCTCTGAACCGCAAAACAGGTGCCAAACCACATAGAAAGATTTGTCGGCCTTCTGGTTAGGGCTGTTAGGGAGCCAAGGTTCCACTATTCTGAAAGGGAGAACATCTCGCTGTGGTGTCAGGGGGGGTGGGGACAAACAGCCCAGAGGCCTTCGGATGGCAGATTGGATGAGCCGGGAACATGAGGTTTGATGCCCGAAGAAATCCCACCGTGTCATAGAAATTGGGAACAAAGGTAGCTGGAGCCCGCACAAGAAAAATATCTGCAGTCTTCACTTTGCCTAACTTTTCCACAGCTTGCCCAGCCCACTGGATAAGATGGTTGATCGCCATTTAACGGGGGGTTGGGGGGGAATCTTGAGGGCAACCGTCCGCTGGGAACCTACTTGGAATTGGCGGTTGAGATGGAGGGGGTTGCATTCAAGGCAGCCTTCTCATGCGGAGTGGTGCGGAGCTTGCTGTTGAATATATGAATTTGGAGGGAGTTCCCTTCACTTAAGTTCAACGACCAAAACAAGGAACCCCATTTTTACATGGCCATTCTGAGGTGACCATGCGCATCCGGTAGAATGATTTCCAGTACACGAGCAGCCATGTTACACCCCTCTGCACCTTGTCTGGCGCGTTCGTGTCACTTGGTGAGATGATCTTCCTTCTGTCAGCGCTTCTCTCCCAGAACGGAATGTCCCGTGTTTGGATGGGAAGATTCACTCAGTTCGGAGGGAGAAATACTCGCTCGATTTCGACCTGCGGCTTTCTTCTAAAGTGTGACCTTGTGGACCATTTTGAAGGGTTCTGAAATTTTGTTTGGGGGGTGATTTCCCTTTTATCTTTTAACCACCATTATGAGGGTTGGGGGCTCCTAGCAGAAAGCTGTCGCTTTTCGGATCTCGCTAGCCGAGGTCTCAGGCGGCAAGACCAGCTCGGGTCAACCCCCCACGCTCCCCCCCCAGCTCCCCCGCTGCGGCAGCTCCCGGTTGCAGGTGGCCAGCTGCGTGCAGGGCTGGCGGGTGCGCACCGCCATGACGGTGGCGCCCGGGGAGTCCTTGGACTACTACATCCGGCGCAGTCCTCAGATTTTGGCTTTGAGACATGCACGGGCGTGGGGGTCAGTGGGTTTCCCTGTTTTTTGAGACCGAACTATCGGAACGGGGGACCAAATTCCAGTTTGAGAAACATACATTGCTTTTGTCTCTCAGATGCCAAAAAGGAAAACCGAAACCCTAAGAATACTGGGATAAACCAAACCTGACTGACCCGAGGCGCCCAAATTTGCACGGCTTTGCGATGTCCTTGCGCCGGGCGCTGGCGTTGGCGCCTTGCTCGGACACGGACAATTGCTTGGGTGGGTCCTTATCGGAGACCAATTGAAAGATCAACAGGGTTGGGCATGCTCAAAAACAACCAGACCTTCGCCCCTGTTCAAGGCAAGCCCATGGAGGTTGTTTCTACCGTAGTTTCAACGGGTTGGACATGATGGGACAGGGACTTGGCCCAGCCTTGAAAGTCAAGTTCCGCTTGAAGGGAAGCCATGTGAGGTGGCAATGTGTAGGCAGAAAGCTCGTAAGTCCAGATGCACTGGGGGGACCTCAAAGAAGCATGGCTGAACTTGTCGCCATCCATTTGTTGGATTCAACCATCTTTTGGAAAGGCCAATCGCTCATGTTTTGGTTCTTCGGGGAAATCCAGTGAAGTACGGGAAGCCCTGTTTCAAACGTATCTCATTAGAACAATAGATGGCCCCAACAGTTCAGGATTCTTGTTGGAGGTCAAAAGGACATCCCTGGGATCAACCACTGCAGTGAAGTTAGGGCATGGAGGGTTGACAAAGACCGGAAATCCTCTTGCAGGGCTGGGGGGAGGGAAACCAAACGAAAAGCTTCCGCTATATCCTCAATTTTACGAACCCAACAACTAGATTTCATTCATTGGCTAACCACGTGTTTTAGCCTTTGGCATGCACCTACAATCAGGGCAGCGTCGTCGATGGCTGAGTCCATTTGACTCGAGAGATCGCCGGCCTTTGGTTTCGTTCTGAAACCCTCTGGGGTTAAAAGGCTACTCCCCAAAGAGTGCCTAGCAAGCAAATGGGTCCCTTATTTTCAGCAGGGGGAACGCTAGTTTAAAGCCAGTTAGTTTCCTTCTGGTGGGGGCATGCAAAAAAGGGAAATATGAGAACCCTTGTTTGAAAGAGCATAAGGAAATATGAGAACCCCTATTTCCAAGAGCATCCTATTGGGAAATCGACCTGTTACAAGAGAATACTGTTGCAAATATCAACCTGTTTGGAGGAATCTTACGGGGAAAAAGGCTGGTCTTCTTGATTCTTTGTTTGCTTTATAAACGGCGTAGAGACTGGCTGTTCAGCAAATTGGTTTCCCTTTAGCTTTTTTTTTTTCAACTATACCAACCGGATTCAGCGGCTGGCCCAAACTCACCTCAGGTGGCGAATTTGCTGCGGGACATCGGTCCGGCGCTGCAGCGGCTAGGGCCAATCGCCTGGCACCGTGCCCTTTGGCTTGGATGGCGTCGAACCTCCGAGTTGCGTGCGAGTCGCGACGTTGCGGAGCTTGGGATTTCTGTTCGGTGCTTGGCACCACTTGAAATGATTGGTGTCACCTTGGTTGTCTTCAAGAAGGATAAAGTCATATAGGCCAACTCACCCCGCGATTCCGTTTTATGTCTCTGCAAAATAGACCAGACAAAGGGAAGCACCCTAAAGCCAAAAGGATCTTGGCTGGTTGCCTTCTATAGCAGCTTGCCTGGGAACGAGTGGGGCAACCACCGCCTAGACCCTGAAACTGCCCTGGGTAGCTTGAGGGTGCAGGTCCGTTTCTTGTTCGCTTTCCCCGAACAGCTGAAAGCTTTGAGGTCTGTGCCCAGGTTCAGGTTTTGAAGCTGTGGGCTAGGGCCATGAAAAATGTCAAGGGGAACAACAACGTGCCTCTGGGGTAGGTGGTACAATATGACCTTATGACATTCCATATATGGCCCGTACACATATGCACATGCATGCATATATGCATAGGTATATAAGCTTTACCTGGATCTTCCTTAGGTGCTTTTTTTCTGCCTTTTGAGCAACAACTGCCTTTTGGTGCTTGCAGCGCCTTTTTGTGCCTCTGGGCAATTTGTGTGTTTTCCGTTTTCTAGGACAAACCCCGCAACATTGAATAGGCAACTTTTCCCTACCAAAAGGCAACTTTCCCCGACCAACAGGCGACTTTTACCGACCGGCAGACATGTTTGTAACAACTGCCAAACGGCGCTTTGCAATGAAACGGCCTTTCCCAAACGAAACGCCTCAAATAGTTGCTATGTCAGCAAGAGGCAGAAAAACACATACATGGAAGATGCAGGTATACATATATATGGTCCAGCCATGTGTGTGTGTGTGTGTTGGATATCTTGGCTGCGGTGATGCTGATGATGTCGGCCATGGCGGGTGCCTCGTTTGTTGCCCTGCCACTCTCTACCGCCGTTGATGGCACTCAAGGGCCCTTCAAGCGTGCGCATTGCTCGATCCTTGCACTTGAGGACGTGAACTCCCACAACATCCTGATCGACGGGGCTCCCGACGAGGCGGATGAGGTGTACCTGTCTGCCAACTCGACCTTTTGGCTAATCGACTTCGGCTTGGCGGTAGATTCCCAAAGTTGGGTCTCCGAGAACGGCAAGTGGAGGACGGAAGTGAGATGAAGCGGGGTTCCTGGAGGGAGCAAGCGGGGCAAAGGGGGGCAGAAGACATGTTAATTGGCCTTCCCAAATTGGCTTGCAGCTGCTAGCTGGAGTGCAATCGAACCACTCGTGTGTGAAGAAAAGTCAAAATCCCGGTACCCCCAGACAGGTTTTCAGACCTACGAACCCCTGTCAAGCTTTCGCTCCAGTTGGCGCCTTTAGTCGTTGTTGGTTTCCCGTGCAGAGCAACTGGTCGTTGCGATTTCCGCAGCCCCTGTCCCCAGGCCCGAGCCGGGTGTCACCCGTGAGGGTTGCTTTAATTTGGGGTGCGTTTTTGTAAGGGTACCCTTTTTGGAACTGTCTCATCTCGACAAACCTGTTTGTTGTTATTTCACCAAAGAATCGGCTGAACCCCCAATTTTGGAGTGGATGGTTTTGAAGGGAACCCCTTCAAATGGGGGAATTGGTAATTTGGACGGCTTTCCATTCGTATCACAGAGGCGGAATTGCCATTGTCACCACCCAGCCCAGGTCCGACCAACTGATATCAAGCAGTCATCTCGTTCCAGCTGGTACAGCCCAAGTCCCAAAACGCTCCTGGCCATCCCGATTGCACTTCCCCTCAAAGTTATATGTTACATTTTCGCGTTCACCATGGGCCAGAAGCCAACACTGACATGGCTTCAAGGGGACACATAGCCACCGTCTATATGTTTGGTCGGGCCAAAGCTGTCCCCTCGCCAAATCACCCAAGCACCTTTTGAGCGCCCGCGCTGAAAAAAAAACATCCTCCAGAAGCGCCCATTGCGTTCCAACCCAAATGTTCTCCATATGGCTGGATGGGCATTTTGACGTTTTCCCCAAACTTGTTCCTTTTTCCCCCTTTCCGAACCGCAAGGACGAGTTCCTGTCTTTTTTTTTCGTCTCTCTTTCCTACAATTCGTTTGTCCCATCGTTCCCTTCCTTCTCTCTGTTTTTTTCTCGCTTTCTCTCGTCTTTTGTCTCTCCGTCTTTGTCTCGAGGACGGAGTACATCGGGGGGGACAGCCGGTACTGGCCCCCCAGCAGTTGGATCATGCACCTGGTGGGCCCCGAGGGCTTCGATGATCAGCCGGAGCTGTGCCAACAGTACCAGCACCTCGACTCGACTCGGACGGAGCGACGGAGCGATGGAGTGATGGATGCCCGTGGGTGTGGAGATGTCTTTCTTTAAATTGGGTAATGATTGCGCCGGACTTTTGGCGCGCACTATTCTCCCCCTCCCCCCCATTTTTTGAGGGTTTGTCTTTTTGTTTTGAGGATATCTAGGACCCCACCCAACCTTCACAAAGGGGACAACTCACCCATAATTGTGGGTGTTTGTGTAAAAAGGAAACCAACATTTTGAAGTCAAGCATTCCCAGAGTGCCGCTTCAAATTTTGACCAATTGAGCACAACGCGAAACCCGATTCTACCAAGGTCCCGGGAATTCTCTTAATGCCTTACAAGGCTCGGATCGTCTGGGTTTTAGTAGGTTCGGTTGCTACCTGGTTTGATAGGGAGTAGGCCTACATAGACCTTTATGACCAGGTTGGTAGAACCAAAAGTCACTGGGTTTTGGGTGCTGCTCAAGAATTGGTGCAGTTGGAGGCCTAAACGTTGGGTACGAAGAAAGAGAGCACAAATCCATGGTAGATTAAGTCAACGTAAATTTGACTTTCTTTTTTTACTTGCACTAGTGAGTTGGCATCCCCCGAATGTGCCAGGTAGATGTTCAGTTGGGGCAAACAAATCCTTCAAGATCCCCGGCTTTCTCTCTTCCTGTTCCTTTTTTTGATTGCGGGGGAGGGTCCTTCAAATCCAGCAACGGAGTCAACTGATGACCATGTCATCTCATCAGGCCAAACAACTCCATCTTGAGTTCCAACCAGCGACCCGAGCTTTCGACCCCCAGCCCCTCGCGCGTTTGTGAGGCGGCGTCTGGACATCCACGGGCTGGGCATCACGGCTTTGGAGCTGCTGTGCTCCGTGGCGATGCCCGAGTGCGCGGAGGAGCGGAGCTGTGTGTACATGTGTATGTTTTTCAATATTGCTGGAGCGTTTTCTCAGAGTTAGCTCATTTGGAGAGAGACGCCCAGTCCTCCCTCCCATTTGCAGGCTCCTTTTCTTCCAGATGACCTTCTTTTCAGAAAATCACTAACACCCAGGAGGAAACGGCTGGGTTTTGGGGATCAACTCAACCCGAGGGGAAACGGCTGGGCCATGTGAGGTTCCGGCAAAATTTTCAGTATGGTCCATTTGGCGAGAGACATACTCTCTACATTCCCACCACGCAAATCCAGGTGACTCTCTAGTTTGCTCATGTCCATGCTCCGCCAATTCATTGGCTATGAGTTTACTAAACCACCAACCACCATGTGGGGCTCCTTCAAATTCATACTGTGGATATGGTATGTTTTAGACTCATACCCACATGGTTGCGGTCTTAGGGTTTTCCTTTTGGTTTGCCTTTCCCAGGAGCGCGAGCTGCAGCCCTGGACCCCCATCTTCCGCGCCTGGCAGAACTACCGCGAGGCGGGTTTCGGAGATGTTTCCGGTTCGGAAACCGGGAACGCCCACCACGGGTCAGACATTCCCAGGTTTTCTCTCATGGCGTCCTTGGTTTTACGAGACGCCCCATGTGAATTGGCGTATTTCAACTCCCCAGGAAACATGGGCTTGTCTCAAGATAGACAACCCTGAAATTTCCCTCTTAAGCCACACCAAAAAGGGGCTCCCCTCACCCACATAAGGGGAACTCAGGCAAAATCCTTTTGCCGCGGATGGGCTCCAATGTTTCTGATCAAAAAGCACCAAGAAGCCAACCTTGCAGCCTCGTGCGCCCCTCCATGTTTTCTGCAAAATGCCCGGGTCGGAAAATCCTGGCCCTCACGCAGAGTGTCCAAGCAAAAAGACAAGGCTCGTTCTAACTCCCACGAAGACCCTTTTCCCGTTACATAGTCCTTCAGAAAGGGGGTTCCTTTGCAAGCAATCGCCAACGAGTGGTCCCTTTGCTTCCAAAAAGCAACGGCAAAAGGCGAAGTCCCCAAAGCGTACCATCAGGTTACCGCCTGGTTGTGGAAGCAGGACCATTTTCTGTGAAATCAAGGACATTTTCTTCCAAGTTCGCTTTGAACATGGCTTAGGAAGGGGGTAAGATAAAGTACCTGATGTACCTCCTTAAAAGGTAGTGGTAGTTTGAACACCTATTGTCCATTTTAGTGTCTTGTGGTTATAGCCAGGCCCAAATCACCCCCATAATATTATCATAAGGGAAATATGTTAATATTCCATGTGCATTCCATTTTCCTCGGTACTTTGAGGGTCCATCATCTCAGAACCCAAATGTCAGCTACAGCTGATGCACTTCGAAGCAGGTGGTGTGGCAGTGGTGGTCCCTGGTCTACGAGGTCTTCAGTCGTGGCGGGGACCTGGCACCGGTGCAGGCGCAGCTGGTCGAGGATCTGCGATCCGCGAGAGCTGCGAAATCGGAAGTCGGTATGGGTCAAAATGTCCGAAGCCCCGGAACTGGGTGAGTTCCCTTTGGCTTCCTTTTAAGCAAACCCAAAAAAGAGTACCCTCCAAAACCAACACACGCCGGCACACCAAGTAGCAAATACGATGCTTATGCTTGTTCAAAGGAAAGCAAAAGGGGATGAAAGATGTTGTTACATTTTCAACACCCTATTTGGCTCCAAGTAAAAAGGGAAACCTAAATAGGTGTCTTGTGTCTTGTGTTTAATTTAGACATGTATGTTGGGTGTTTTGGCTTTGGTTGGTTTGCAGCTGGGCTGCTTGGCTGCTTGGCTGCTTGAGTGCTTGCTTGTTTGTTTGCTTGCCTTGCTTGCCTTGCTTGCCTTGCTTGCCTTGCTTGCCTTGCTTGCCTTGCTTGCTTGCTTGCCTTGCTTGGTCTTGCTTGCCTTGCTTGCCTTGCTTGCCTTGCTTGGTCTTGCTTGCCTTGCTTGCCTTGCTTGCTTTGCTTTGCTTGCATTTGCTTTGTTTTGCTTTGCTTTGCTTCCTCAACCACCCTAAAACAATTGATGGAGTTGGTCCAGGAGGAGTCGCATCACCTGCATCACCTGCATCACCTGAATCATCTGCCTCCCGGCCAAACGACTCGCCAGCATTGCCAGCATCATCCCACTGCCGTGCCAAACCAGGCACAAACTTCGAGGATGCGAAAGATCTTCCCACTTTTAAGGAAGCCAAAAAGACACCGTTGTCTGCTTCGAGGGGGCCTACCGGTCATTCCCATTTTGCCGATTTGAGGGTCCGGAATCCCAGTTTGGTGGAGAAGCAAGCCTCCCAATAGGAGATTTTGAGGGGGGCCCCTCAAAAGCCCATTCTGGGGGATCCCCTGTTGGGACCCCCTCCACCCCTGCGCTCCCTGCGCCCCTTCGGCGGCTTCGACGGCCTTCCACCGCTTTGAGCGCTTCCAGGAGCGCCTGGTGGATCGCCTGCTGGAGCTGCTGCGCAGCTGCCGCCAGGCGCTGCGCGGCACCGCCGCCAGCTGTGGCGACCCCAGCGCCCAGAGGCGCGGAGCGCCGGACGGCTCGCCGCCGAAGCAGACCGGGCTCGGAGGTCAGACAAATCCGGCCGGTGAAATAAGAAAGAGGTTATGAAAGGGTTGGGGTTTTGCCATTTTGGGGCAACACATGTTTAAGGTGTCATCCCAGAACTTTGGGGGCAAGACCACATTTTTAGTTGAGGGTTTGAGGGTTTGGATGGGGAGAGGACGGGGGCTCTCGCTTTTGGTGCGTGTAAGGAACATGTGCCAATATCTGTTTGGCGCCAAGGCTGCAACCCACTGGCCATGGGGATGTTGACATCCACCAAATCCAAGGCATGGCCGCTTGCACCGGGGCATGGAAGTTCCGTTTCGGCGTTCCCCCAAGCCGAAGGGCGCAAGCATTCTGGATCGAAGGCGTGATATTTGCTTGAAACAAGCGCCAACTTCTTCCATGCCCGACGTGACGCCCAAAGAATCAGTCGGCAGTATGTAGTTCCCTGCTGCAGGCTCTTGCTGATGATCGCCGACATGCTAGATGAGGGGACGCTTGGATTTGAGCGAGTCCTCTGTTTTTGTTCGCTCCAGATATGGGGTTGCTCCGAGCGATGACCAACCTGGAAGGGTTGAGCATTGGCAAGAGACTCGTCCTGTTGTTTTCCCTTGGGGACCAAATTTTGTACCACGGCAGCGCACGGCAAGCTACCAGCGATGTTGGGAGACCAGCGACCGTTTCCGGAGTCTGGCTCAGGGCTAATGCCTGGGAATTTCCGGGCGCGTTGGCTGTGTGTATTGGGACAAATCAAGACGCGACCTTACAAGGGATTTGGTCTGCGATCAATTTGACCCAAGAAGGTTTCCTCCTTGAGGGGGCCTTATATCTAAGATAGGTGAATTCATCTACAGTGTATGGACAGATTACAGAGTTGGCGTTTCACTTGAGTTGGGGTCTCATCTGGGCAATTGGGTGACAGGGAACCGCAAAGCGCGACGGACACGCCACAAGGGGCTTTATGTTTTTGTTACAGCACCACGTGTTGCAACGCATTGTGAAGGTTTTAGGCTACTAAGAACTGAGACGTGGCTGATTGTATTCAACCCGCTAGCCACTGCTCCAAGACTTAACCTTAAGCCCAACATTTGTGGGAACCAAAAGGAATCCCAACATTTGTTCTTCGGCCATCAGCCTTCTGCTACGCCCCGCGGGGATTGTAAAGTCAACTTTGCATGGAAGACCATGCTGATCACAGGGATTCCCCCTAAAATGGTTTATGTTCCACTAAAAAGTTGGAGCCACCCTTCCAACGACTCACTTTTTGAATTCATGGACTTTGTACTTTTTGGGAGGATCAGTTAAGTGGCAACCAACAAATGTTGACTGTTCTTGGCCACACTCAGGAAGCGAGATGGACATGTCTCACTCAAAAAGGCAACCCACCTGAGCATGTCTTCTGGTTGTTCCATCCGAAGTTAAGCTTTTGTGGCCGAGGAAGGACTTCGACCTGCAGGAGATCCAAAGGCCCCGGATGGAGCGAAGAGAGGGCAAGCAACACGGAAGCTTCCCTTTTGAAGGATCGAGTATGGGTGAGCAGAGTCTGCACTGGCCTCCAAACAAATGACGCACAACCTTCGGTTTCTGTTTGGTTGGCTTTTATGGCTAGTCTATGGCTAGTCCAAGAAGGACACGCGGTGAAAACAGCCGCGCCCATGGCACAGAATCAAGCAGCCGGAAACTCAGAAATTGGGTTTGGATCGTCCCCTAAACTTTAACTAGGTGTCGGAAGTTTTGGCTCAGGTTGCGAGCGCGAGCTTTCGCTTGCTTTACACCTCGTCGGAATCCACCAAAAAGGAACTCACAGCACAGCGAAAGTCTCTATGTCGCCTAACCCGTGCTCTGGGACTGAGCAGAACGGCTTGGAGCACATGCTTGGTCGCGGCCACCTTAGAATTGGCAAGGCCCCACTTTGGGGCCTTTGGGGGGGACATGTGCGCGTGTGAGGATATCCTTTTAAGGTTGCCTGCTATAGCATGGTATTGGGTAGACTCCACAATCAATTTCCAATCCTTTTGCCAGATGGTATATAGTTGTTTCGGGTGTCCAACTACAGACTAGGATTAGGATCACCCAGGTTATTGTGCCACCGCAAACGGTTCCTATTCTTCCCCGGCCGCGTTCCCCACCCTCCTCCACATTTTCGCAGGCTGCTGGGCCCACAGCGTAAGGCCAAGGCGCGCGCATCCGCTTGGCAGTCGACTTGAAAGGATATAACCAAAGGACCCTCTGACTCTGAGGTCTGTTCTTGCTGACGCAAGCCAGTATAGCCATGAATTTAAAGAGTTGGATGGCAGCTTTCGAGGGGCTTGAGCTACGGAGGAAAGGGCATGGCGACGATGACAGCACAGTTGCAGTTGGTTCTCGTACGAAGTAGGGATCAAGTGAAACCTAAGTAATGCCATACTCTGTGGTTGGTCTGTATGCAATACTCAGGGAATCAACTGCACCACTCTTGGTGCGAACTAGGAGACTCTACACAGGCGGCAAGACAGGTCCCGCCAAGACAGCGTATATTTTTGTGCACAAGTCATAGAAGCAAACTGAAGAAGGTAGGCAGTGTCCGTTTGGTTGGCTATGTGAACTTGTCCAGCGAGAGGATCATATCCAAGCCCATGGAAGCCAATAGCAATGCAGAGGGTTTTTTTGACACCGTTTTCAGATTGGCTCAAGGGGAATTTCGAAGGAGGACCACTATTTTGGGGGTACCTCTACTTTGACACATACCCAAGAATTGCAATCAAAGTAAACAAGCAAACAGCTTCTCTAATCTACAATAGTTTGCCATGGTTTGCTTGCAACGTTGCCTTTGGGCAATCGTTTTTCTGCCAACCTGCCGTGCGTTTCTTCGAACGGTGCTTCCCTTAGACTAGCCAAATTGGACTCCGCTCGAGTTCCGTCGGGCTCTAGGCGAAGGAGGGCCCTTCGGAGGCCGAGCAGCCGGAGCCTGAGCTCTTGAAAGCGGCAGAGCTCCAAGCGTTGGTTCGTTGGCCGTTTTGCCCGTGAGAATGGGCTTGTGCATTTGTTCACCCTAAATGTAAGGGGCTGACAATGCCCTCGCTCGTCCGACAGGAAGACAGCAACGCATGTTGACCCTCAGGCGAGCGGCCAGTGTGTTTGATCCTCCAGCTGGTAGGAGGGCCTCTTTTGCGGCAATTGGGACACATCAACATTCCCATTTTCAACCCTGCCACCTGCCGGGACGAGCTTGGGATTCTTTTTCTGGTAAGTCTTCTTGGGTCTTTTGGAAGGCCAAAGAGAGGCCGCGCGGAAGACAAGTCCGGTCCCGGGTAGATTCGGCGCTCGGACTTGGGCTGACGAGCTCCAGGAAGGCATCCTTCCAAAGCTACAAAGCATGGAGGGGGAAACGGCTGGCATTGAAACGAGTGGTTGAACACGAGGAATCAATGAATCAACCCCAACGGCTGTTGACCTTCTTGAGTCTTTCCACTGACTGCATCGCATTGAATTGAAGCCAAGAAGGCACGGCAGGATCCCACCGCGTGCTTAATTCCAGTTCTGTGGCAGCGCTTTTCCCGTTTCATTTGGAGGGGTCACTGCTGTTTAGCCCCAAAGGTCCATGGCAGAGTTGCCGTTTGGCCCAGAAAGACGAAGGGAGCGTGACCAAACCTGGGCGGGTGTGAACACCTACATGTTCTAGTCCTAGTTGAATACTAGATGTGCACTTCAATTCACTCTTGTACTATATGAGCAAATGGTTTCTTATATATTCACTATGGTCATAAATTAGCAAATTGTTTATGTATGTATTCAGCAGTGATTCGTATGCATATATATATATATGCATACATCGCACATAGAAATTTACATGTTCACACATGTCGTTTGGTTTACATTTATGAGTCTATGTAAATAAATAAATAAATATATATATATATGTATATGGTCCCGTGTTCCGTGTTGCTACCGCCCCCCCCCCCAGATGGTATGGGTCTATATATATTTATACGGCTATACACATACACGTGAAACACGTCGGCCACACGTTTCGGGCATCACCGTGTTCCGTTGGGCGAGGCTGTCGGCCATCCTTCCGGGCTACGAAACCTTGATGCAGCGCATGCAGAGAGCGGCGCCCAGCATGCCGCATGCCGGCTCGACCCCGAAACCGCTGCTGGGGGGGGGGGATGTCACTTTTAGGCTGGTTTGGTGGAACATGTGGATGGACCAAATCCAGGATTTGGCACCACGAAAGGAAACATGGGAAGCCATTGTTGGTGGGAATCATCATTCCAGGGTTTCTTGGATGGTGCAGGATTTCGTCCATCCACAGTGTGGTAATTACCTTCTCCTCAAGCAATGCTTTTTTTGGTTGTGAGGGATAGCAACGAAAGATGTCACTGGTTGCTCTTTAAGTTGAAATACATGGCACTGATTCATTTCTTAAGTAAAAGTAACTTTAGTTGCCTTGGTTTTCTTTGGTTTCCATTTGCCAGAAACTGACTTTCCACCCTCCCATTGGAGCAACCCTCCCATTGGAGCAACCTGACTGGCGAACATCTTGTTCGAATGGCGCTCGCAAAATGCGCATGGAAGTTGATAATGTGGACCCCGGATCAATTGATAGCCCTCCCCCCCCCCGCCACCTTGTTGGCAGGGCATGCCTCAATGGCGGATTTTCCTCTTTGCAGGATGGGGATCTTACTGAGAACAAGCAAGAAGTGGCAGAATGAGCTGAACCTGATTGGTTGGACGGCTTTGAAAGGCAAGCAGCATGATACCAGCACCATTTCCACCCATGTGCAGCGTTGTCCAGAGACACCCTTTCGTAAACACCTCTTGTAGGGTAAGTTGCCGAGGGCAAATGGACACACCAAATCAGTGGACATAGATGAGACCCTGTCCACTTCCATGATTGTGAAAGGGAACCCCCTGTGAACATTTGAGGTTGAAACATTGAACACTTGTCCACTTCCACTTCTTGGGCACTTCCACTTGTTTCCTTGTGCAACATTTGTGAGACCTCTGTTGGGCAGCCCATTGGTCACACCCAGCACCAGGGCCCCTGAAGGGAGGCGCTTCCGACGCCCCCGCCGCGTGCGAGGCCTTCACAAGCTGAAGACCACGCCGCCGGCTGCGGACGCGGCGTTGGAGCAGAAGCTGGGCCAACTGCGGCGGCAGGTGGTGGGCAAGGCCTGGGGCTGGGGCTGGGGGTAGGGGGTGGGTGGGTGGGTTGGGGGGGGGTTGGGGGGGTGGGGAAGTTGGTGGGGACACTTGGGGTATTCGGCGTATGTTTTGTTCTTTGAGATTCAAGGCGGGTTGCTATGACTGTTTCTCAGGCATGGTTACTTTGGTTTTTGGGGTTTGATTTTTCGTCTATTGGCGGGAGGACACTTAGCGGCTAGTGGCTCGCGTCTATGTTGGGTTTTTAGTGTTTGGGTATGGCAGACGCTCAGGGTCTTTTTTGGCATCGGTTTTTGGATGTGAGGGTGCCTCAAAACGGGTGTGCCTCAAACTGGACGCAACAGTTGTTGCTTCCTCTTTGCCGTCTTTCAAAGCCCACCCTCCAAAACAGAAGAAGCACCAACCCCAAACTAGACACACCCACATCAGTCAGGTCGTTCGCTTCAACCTGAAAATGGTATCCAAACCACAGGTTTCACTAGGCCGGCTAAGATCTTTTTGACCAGCGACCAGCTTGGCACTAAAGATGCAGATTGAAATGGGCCTGCCGCTGTTTGGGGGACCCACCAAAACGGTGGTTTTCCTCTAAACCACCGACAAAAAGGGTGCCCTCAAAGAAAAACACACACCCAAATGGGTATGGGTCAAAATTAAACCACCAGGGCACCAGGTTTTAGTCTTTAAAGTTCCATTTACCAGGGTTCCACGTGCGTACTCATTTGTGACCCGATCCTTCGAGTGGAGAGATCCAATCCACAGCTCCAGGCGCGGTGGCGGCTCCTGGAGCTCGCGCAAAAGCGCAAGGCGAGCGTTTCGAGCAAAGCGCTGAGCGGGATGAGTGGGGCGCTCAGAGTCAGGGGCTGTATGTGGGTGGCTTGTGTTTTTTGAGGGCACCTGGTTTGGCGGTGTTAAAGAGGCATAAAATGGAAAACCACTAGTTTGGGGGTCCCGTTTTTCAAGACGCAAATGGCAGAACTTGTCCACAGTCTGTGCCCCTTTTTCGGTGGTTTAACCATCAAGGTTCTGGCTCATCTACAGTGAGTTTCCCTTGGTAGGGGTGATGTTTCGACGGAGAGATAGGGAGCCCTGGAGGTTGACCTGAAAGTCTTTGGGGGTCCCAACAAAACGAGTTCCAATCACTTGAGGCAACGGAGAATGTTTCGCATCCGAATGGAACCGATTGGTGATCGACCTCAATGGACCCAATGCACCCGGATTCCAGGCAAGCCACAGAAGGTAGCGATTTTCCAGTTGGCAACCAGGCTCATTTGTGCTCTTAGAGTCTTACAGAGGTGCTAAGGTGCGCCGAATTCTGTCAATGCCAATGGATGCGACCCTTAGATGAAGCTGCCGCTAAACGGAGGGTTGGCGCTTACCAATTGACAACAAGCCAGCAAAAAAGGGGGTCCTTTAGGAGGAGGTTCCTATACTCACGAGGCCAACCATCCAGACAAGACTATACACTGCTACAATGCTGAATGGTTGGAACACCCCACATGGGGTACCCAATTGAACGCATCCACATTGCTCTATATCCTGGCACGCCGCTGAAAGTTACTTGCCTCACCCTTTCTTTGGGCCGACCGCTCATCTTAGGCACGCCGCCAGGGGGCCGTCCTTAGCGAGAGATGCATTGCGATGCGAATGCTCTGTCCCTCGACAGGGCACGACTCGCAGGTCCCGCTTTCGTCACAGCCCCTTGATTCGTGCGGCGGGGGGAAGGAAAGCTCGAAGGCCTTTTTCCCAGCCATTTGGGTACAGCAACAATGTATGAGATAAGCACGTTCAGTTTCCCATTCCCCATTCTAAGCGCTATTTTCTGCGAAGACCCCTTTGAGAAGCCAGCGGCACCTTGGCGCACTTCACACATTCAGCAGTTCGGGCTGGTGACACCTGGCGCGCTGTCCAAGGGGCTGCGGTTGTACCATAATTGAATGCACTGCATGGTGTGCAGAGGTGAGCCGGAGTAAAGCTTGCAAACCGCGATCATTCCAGATTCCCTTTTGGTTCCTTCTCTTGGGCTTCTGTGTGTCTGAAAGGTATTTGTGTTGCTTCCGTCCACTGGCGCAAACAATGCCTCAGCCCGCTTGGGCGTGGAGAAAAGCTGCGCTCGCCGACGCGCCGCGCCCCGTCGGGTTTGCAACGCCCGTCGGCCGGATGGGAGTGAGATGAGGTTAAAGGCAGGTTTAAGATGGATTAAGGGTGGGTTTGGGATGGGTTTAGGGTTAGATGGGGGGTTGGATATGTTAAGGGTGGGTTGGGTTGGTGGTGGTGTTCCCCCCCCTCTGGTTTTCTCAAAAAAGGAGTCCCCGCGCCTCACAAATACACCCACACACACTTGTGGACTGGCCATCCGCCAGTTCAAGTGAAGAGACAGAGGGAAGCCGGCAGGCATGCCGGGAATTGCATACATCCCCAGTGCTTCAAAGCACAAAAAGGTGATCAATGAACCAGACCCCGCCATGCATCGGAAACGCGATTTGACTAGAGGGATTCCCCACTTTTTGTGTTTGGTGTGGCCTTGTCCCCTTAGACCTTGCGGACCCAGATGGCTTTTTCCGTTGAGCCTCCCTGCGGTTTGACCTTTTGCTCAGCATGGAAGCAACCCAGAATGGGGAGCCTCCAATTCCGTCCTGAGGAAGGCTTTTGACCAGTCGCAAAAAACCATTTCAGGCATCGCGTCTTGATTTAAGGGCGAGCCACAGGCTCAGTGTTTTACTGCCAGGTCCTGTAGGTCTTTTGGTAGGTGTGGCGCACCCAGGGCAATTCCAGCAGCGATGGCCAGTCTGGAGAAATGTAAGTAAGCCCAAGTTTCCCAGACGCCAAGGAAAACCCCTCAACACAAAACCTTAACCACACGCCCCTAGCAAACACAGTTTGATGTGTTTGCCATGGGGTTTATTTCTCGCGGACCGAATTCATCTTGACTTTTGCCCACCTGCGATCGTAGGACTGCCAGTGGGGCGAGTCTGGGCCTTGGTTGGCTTTCGGAAGTCGCTCTCTTTGGCTTCGTAGAAGCTGTTTCCTTTGCAGATGTTTGATTTTGCGACTGATGGCTCGCTAACCAATTGCGTATCAGTGTATCATCTCGTTTGGTACCCCTCTCCCATTTTTCACATATACATCGGATTGTTTTCCTGGCAAAGCAACCTAAGGCGAATGTTCAGACCATAGCATGCAGCCGAATATTATTTGGTTGCATCTAAAGCATATGGAAGCACAAGGAGAGTCATGTCCCTTTGGACCCCATGTTTGGAATTGAGAGCGCTGATTTGTTTTCAGGTCGCTTTGGCAAGCTTGTGGTGCAACATAGAGCCCAAGAGTAGGTCTCCGTGTTGGGATAGGGTGTTCAAAAGAAGCAAAAGAAAGCTACTTTCGAGAAAGCTGCTAGAAACAGCCATGTGGGCAGGTAAGCATGTCTCAAAAAGGGGAAATCACCGAAATGGCGCGCAACTGCAATCTAACATGAATGTGAGTCTTTTGGAGGTGCCGTTTTCAGGTTGGACTACAGGGAAACCATAAGGATCCATGGGGGTCATAGTTCAAGAATACCCATAGCATCATAGAACTCCAGTGAACTTCTGGCTCCACCAGCCCCCTTGGTACGTTAGAGCTTTGGCTCGGCTGGATTCGGCATTGCGCACATCAGGTTCAGGCGACCGCCTGGTTTGTTTCCCGAGGTGGAGTGCGTGGGGCAACTGCAGCACGAGCTGCGACAGTGGCTTTCAGCGCAGGAACAGGTGGACAGGGAGGGATTTCCCGGGTTCGCGGGTCCAGGCATTGGGTTTGAGGTTCATCATCTGTGATACCACATGTTTTGTGTGGGCGCACGCACGCATACTCTTCTGTGGAGAAATGGTGGGGTCTGCAATGTATATAGTTCATAAGGCCTTTTGTTCGTGGCTAGAAAAACAGCGATTCCAGCCGACATGCCGTGGGAAGTGAGGTGGTTTGTGGAATGTGTCAAATCTGAACCCTCTTTTGGGGCTGGTTTCGAGCGAACGCAAGCGAACCACAGTTTTTTTAGGGATCCCCAAGTTGGTCAAATGGGTTCGTGGGAGGTTATTGGTGGGGATGGCCAAGGTCAGAGCAAGGGAAGGATTAAGCAGTGAAAGCTGATATTTGGAATGAATCTCGTGGGGGAGGGTCGCTCCAACAGGATACTTGGACAAGTGATATGGAAACAGGGTGCTCCAGAATCAAGCCTTGTCATTTTACCTGCGCAGCATGTCTCCTTAACACACACCTTGGGACAACATGCATCGTTGCAACTCAACGCAGACAGTCATGATAGGACATGCTTTTCTTTCACCAAGAAACACCCACCTAATAGATGGAGTGTGGGGTATGAGCGTGCAGGCTACAGGTTACAAGAAGCATTGCAAGCAATCGCAGTGGGAGATGTATGCTTTGGCTCTTGGCAACTCTGAAATTCGCAGGCGCTGCCACGCTTCCATTTGTTTCCCCCGAGCAAGGGGGGGTGGGGGCGCAGACATTACGACCTGGACCCTCCCACTCTCAAAAACGGTTGGTGCCCCCCAATTATGGGCGGCTGTGCCTTTCTTCGAGGGTGCCCCCCTTTTTGGAGTGGTTTTAAGTAGGAAGCCGAAAGGAAAACGCCGAGGTCCCATCCGTCCCAAACGAGACACACCCGGCCCCGGCGGCTGCTTCGCAGGTCGGTGGCCTTCCCGAAGGTGGGGGAGGGCGCGGACTGCGACGGCCACGACGAGGCCTCGGGGGTCTCGGCTCTCGGGGGGGGGGGTGGGGGGGGGGTGCTGCGAGTCGCTGCCCATTTGGGGGGCCCGCTCTGAGGCTCCTGGCCCCGGTTAAACATGGATTGGCCCAGCATTTTGGGGCCATCACCCGTGTTTTGAAGGGGGAGGTTGAGGGTCGAGGTAGATAAATGGGTGATCTGGGATGGATGAATGAGAAGCAAGTTAAAGATGGTCATGACAGCTTGTAGGGGCAGTGACAAAAGCTGGACGTGTCTGCACCGCGGCTACAGATCTATTGCCCAAAGGAGGCCTTGAGGCTGGTTTGATTTTTTGGGGCGCTAGTGACGGGACTGGCAAAGAGGCATGGCCTTTGTGCGCGGACAGATGTTCCTGGACTCCAGTCCGCTGTTGACTATTCTTCAATGATACCGGCAGCTTCGGCATTTAGTTGATTTTTGTTTGAGGCTTCGGGGTGATTGGTGCGGAACAAAAGTTGCTAATGGCACCCACTCCAACACGGGTGCCAGTGATTGAGTTGGTCCCGCTCCAACAAGTGTCAGGGGCATGCCCCCAATTTCGAAGACAGACTATATACCTGTTCACCGGGCTCCAACGCAAGGGCACTGAGGTTTCTTTTTGAGTGGCACGCAGGCCACAACAGCCAACCAAAGCTGGAGCCATGGAAAAGCACCCAGCCTCAGGACGCCCAGCCCTGTTCGCAGCGGGGTCTGTGGCCTCGGAGATTCCGTGCGACTCGAGTCGGAACTTCCGGGAGCCGTAGGATCCGGGGGGTTCTTACTTGGCCTTGTTTTTGTTTTAAAAAAAGGAACCATCTCACAAGTGCTGGACATGAACCCCCTTAATGTCCACCAAGGGGTGCCCCAGAGGGTCGGGAGGGGTTGCCAACTTCGTGCAATGTTTCGTTGGGAAATTCGCTTTCACCCATGCCCAATGCGAATCGACCTTGTCTCGCTTGGTCCAGTTTTGGACACCCAGGCAGAGCTTTCATGGGGTAAGTGCGTGTGTGTTCACTGCACGTGGGGGGCCCGCCTTAAGATGTCGACAGTCTATTTGGCCAGTTTCCTTTTGGTAGGTTGAATTGGTAGATATATACGGAAGCCTGATGATGAGGCACTCATAAGGACTCGGAAGCGATTCGTGGCGCGTTTCCGAAAACCGATCTTCGGCATCTGAACATGGGCAACGGTCGCCTTCTAGTTCAAGGCCAACAAGAGATTTTCAACTTTAGGACATAGATACATTGAGGATATGTAAGTACGGGGACTTCCCCAAACGGAAAACGTTAGTCTTCCAACCCCGATTGTCTCCATGGTTGGGGCTCGTGGGCCCTGGTGTAGGAACTACCAACACTCGCGGAGTTGAAAGTGGAGATGAGATGCCAAAGCAACGTGTGGCGGTGGCTTCTGTGCTCGCTGCCACCACCCTGGTGGTGCATACGCGTGATGCAAGCACTACAAGTCACATAGTGCGTGAGGAATCAATACCGTTCATTGCAGCACGGGTGAACTTGTCGAATGATGCGCGGGAGACAGCCGTTGTGTTCCCGTTGTTCACTTCCGCGAACAGGTCGGAGGGAACAGCCTTGGAGGTTCGATTGGGCCATTTTTTGCAGGCCTCGTTTGGAATTGGGAAGGGAAGTTGGAACCACGAGTGTTTGGTGGACATGAATCCCCACTGAAATGATGTCAGGGTTCCCAACTGAAATTCATGGGAGGGTTCCGAGCAAAGTTCGGGCAGATGCTCTTGGGTATGCCTGGGTTTGTGCCAAAACTAGGCTGTCGGGGGACAGAGCCTTTTTAGTTTTAGGTTACTCTTTTTGGGGTTGGTTCAAAGCTTAAAGGGAAACCAAAAGAGCAACATGACCCATTTTGCAGGTACCCCATTTTGCGACATCCTCATATGAAAGGAATGCAGTCGTGACAACATGTGAGATTCACCTGAGGCTGCCCGCGGGATTGCATCCTGCACGTGCCGCGCTCAGAATTTGGAGCGGCTTGAGCTGT